CAATTAAGCTACTTGACTTCCAAGAAATTGGCGCTTTGCTTGAATAAAGAGGAGTTCACTGACAATCAAATGTTGTGCTCGGACGCATTCTTTTGAGTGCAGACTTCATTGTGAAATTAAAAGCACTGCTGAATCGCCATTGACTATCAACAGCCTTCCTTTTAGTAATTTAGTAAAGGGACGGAATGGCCGTGTGCTCACTGGTGTGACCGATGATTCCGTCTTCAAAGCGTTGCTGCAGTAGGTAATGGACTGCTCCATGCTTTCGAAAATGCGTTGAACGCTCAATTTGATCTCTTCCAGGTCCTCTGACTTTGTCTCTAGGTGATCTATTATGTCATTCCAAAATGCCTGCGATGCGTACACCGCCTGCTTTATCTCCAAAGTTCGTTTACTGGCTTCCTGCAACAAAAAAGACGATGAGTGACTTAAGTGGACATAAAAATATAAGATGGCCTTGTAAATAACCTACTTTTGGCATCAAGTCGATTCTATAGAGACTCTCTGCTCAAAATAAATGAGATTGAAGACTAAAAAATTTGGATGTTTCTGTCTGGGCTGTTTAAGTGGCACACTTTAACAGGACATTTTTGACCTCAACTATTGCAGCTAGAACGGGTTTCTCTTTCAATAATTTTAGCTGTACACAAAGCATTTAAAGCGTCATGCGAGAGTAGCAATGATTGCCGCTTTGTTCTTGGCGAAGGGTCCACTTAGTTGTGCTTGAGTGCCCCTTTAAAGAGGGAGCTAACAAAGTGGAGCACTTTTTTTTCTTTTTCAAAACCGTTTGATTGGCATGGAACTGGGCGTGACCCAGCAATAGACCCTGATACTTCCCATCACGTGCCCTGTAGAAGTGAAGTTTTTAAATCCAGTCTCACTTCCTGCCTCACGTACCCTCCCCTTCGTGCGTGCTGCAATCACATTCACCATTTCTTTATAACCACACTGCTATAGTGTGTAAGCAACAAAAGCACATGACTTAAAAACAAAAAAAGTATAAACTATTTGGTAGGAGGGTTACAAACTCACAGACAACTGCTTCTTTGATTCTTCGCCTTCACCAGATGTAGTTGCTAGCAATTCACTTGCCATTTTGTAAATCGTCTGTAACTCGGCATGGAGTTGTTTATTTTCGGAGCTCATTTCTGAGGCAACGTCTTGCAGGTTGTATGGAGTGCTTTCAGTAAAGTTTCCAAACTAAAATTTTGCAAACTTATAGGATTAAGGAGGGCATTAACAGTCAAGTTTTACCAAAAACACAAATCATTATAGTGTCTATCCCAGTCTTAATGCACAGTTTGGTGCACTGCTGCCAAGAAATAAAAATAAAAGCACCCCGAACAAATTTTAAGTGAGGATTCGGTACAAACACACATAATACACTAACGCGTAATAAACCAAAAGTGGACTAACAAGTAGAAGTTCCATGATGGTTGCTGAATGTAACTCAAATTAAACCAAAAATTGACAATTTGTAAAGCAATAAATATTTAATCATTGCAAATGGATTAAAATAACAAACCACGTCTCTATCAGGCAACCAGTGTAGGTTGCGTAGACCGTCGACGTTGGAAGATACGCCGCTTTTTTTGAGACGGCTGTAGGCGTACTCAAAATTATTGCAGGAAAAGGTGTTTTTGTAAGTGATGGCCCAGGTCTAGAGTATAAAAGCAAATTTTTCCACGCAGGAAACGAGAACTTAACAAATATCGCAAGGGTCATGAGAGTGACAGTCAATACCAAAACTTGGATACTAACCTGGATAAGACTAAGCAGTTTCAGTTGCGTCTGTATGGAAATTGATTTGAACTTTGCAGGATTTAAAAAAAAAGCAAGGAGATCATTTAGTCGATCCTGACTATTAAGCGCAAGGGCAAAGGCATCTCCACCATGTAATGTGCACATTTGAAGTAAATCAAGGCTCCAAAGACCAATCCTTTGGTTTTCCATAGCGACATTGCAAAAGCGATTAATGATTTGTCGGGCAGCCGATTGAGCTGCAGCTGCCCCGCCAAGCACAACACTACGAACTTTGGCAAATGCAAGCAAACGATTTGGACAACTCTCACTCGTGGCATGATCTAAATGTAAAATGCACACAAGTTTTGCAATCGTGCCGCATAAAAGTGCTCAAAACAAGTCAAAACATTTTTTGTAGCTGCTCTGCGCAAACTGGTGATGCCATCTATACTAATTACTTAAAAATAAATAAAAAAACATTACCTACATCATGACGCTTATTACGTTTAAGTTTTATTGAGGGTGCGTACCACTAGTGAAAAAGTGCCTCAGCGTATCACATCACCCCAAAAAATGTGATTGTTGATGTCTTACAAAATTTTTAAATAAACTTTTGGATGAGGTTTTGCTTAAGGACGTAAATATGGGAAACCAACCAATGGCATCAAATATGTCCTTGTAACGAGCCATCGCGCACTCGCAAATTTCGTAATGGTAGCAAGTAATCATGTACTATAATGCTTGACTCGCATAAACAAATACGAAGAATTAAGAAAACTTGTGTAATTGTGCAATTAGTAGGTGTAAAATGACTCTTATAATGTTTGAATTCTAAAAATTATGCGTTATAAATGATAATAATAGTTATTATTATTTTTAATTATTTCTTAAAAGATGCACGCAATTCATGTGTAATATGAACACAGAGTAGGGATTCTTGACCAAAAGTGCAAGGTCTTTAAGCTCATTCTCCGAGTTTACAAGAGGGTTGGATAGGGGATGTTCGTTTGACTTCTTATACAGACAGCAAAGTAGAGTATCGATGAGACGATAAGCCAAAGTTACCCCACTAGTGGTTCTCCGCGTTCCTCACTATCTGGATGCATGTTCGGATCGCTTTACCCCTCTCCCCCTGGAAACAACTAAAACATATATATACATCAACCCTTTGTTTATGTGGTCACTTTAAGATTTGCTGGCCGTTCTTCGCATGGGCTGGCCTTCGAGCCAAGGTCGGGTCTAATCCAGATTTACTTGCTGCCTTCTTCTACCCGGTGGGAAATCTCGGGACGCTACATATGCCTTAAATGTATTAAAAATGGCACATTACGGTGCACTAAGTCTTACTGCTTACATTTATACAGATAGTGTGGAGGTGAAGCTGTGAAATGTCTACCTGCCAGCTTATTTACGTAAAACAATATGACTTGTTTTGACTAGATTCCCACAGTTCAGCATTGGAAGCATTGATGGTCAACAGATGTATGCTGCCCCGAATCCAATTGAAGCTGCCGCGGAGACCAAGTACAGTTCCTCAATCTCATGCTGTCTGTCGACTAGCGAAGTTGGCTCGTGGGTGCTTCCCTGTAGTACGGAATATGTTGTGATGGTTGGCTCGGGAGGTGTACAAAGAGGAGCGCCTAAGTGTTCGCTCAGAAGAAGAGAGGGGCAGTGTAATGCCTTATTTATGTGACTACCTGACGTTTGGCCGTCACTTTATGATTTGTCTGGTCCTTGTATACGTGAGCTGACCTTCGAGCCATGCTCATACCCAGTTACTTTGACCTCTTTTAAAAACATGCATCTGGCTTTCCAAACTGCCTTCTTCCACCTTATGAAAAGCCTTGTGACGCTGCAATTATAGATGCTGGTGTGATTGAGTTTGGCTTTATAGAGGAGAGGCGGAACCTGACGTCAAACACGAATTTAGTGCGTGAGGAGTACGGAGACTCCATTTCCGGATGACATCTGCTTCACGCTCATCTTTCTCCCCATTTCCTTTCCTCCTATGCACGATGCCGAATAAAGCTTCCTCATCAAACTTTCTTCTGAAGTCCAAGGTTCAGGGGTCTGAGGGTAGGCGTGCTGACCCATAAAGTGCAGCCCTTTTTTAATCCAGTACTATCAAGCTCGCAATTGCCAAGCGAGCTAGACCTTGAGTTAGACCAAAGCCACATATCGTTCTCATCTTTCTGTAGCACGTAACCAGCCATGTCTGTAGCGTCCCGAAGCTTCCAATGGGGTAGTAGAAGGCATAAGTGAGGTTGAATACACGTATTCCGAAGACAAGAGGAGAAATGGGGCCCGAGCGTGACCCCAAGGCCAGCCCACGTGTACGGGGTCCAGATAAATTCTAAAGTGACTGCCAAACGACAGGTGGTCACATAAACAAAGCATTACATTGTCAAATGTCTTTTGCTACCATATTAAAAGTTGCGATACGGCGCACTTATCGCCATTCATACGCGCATAAAGTATTGCATGATGAGGCATTAAAGTATTCATGGATTTTAATTTCAGCTTGCCGTCTAAATAAATATGTAATAAGTTAATGTACTGCACAGTCCGCTTGCTGCCAAATTTGCAAATTTACAGATTTTAACCGGTGAGTTCAATTAAGAAAATCAGCTTTAATGATTATTTCATCGCAGGGAATATTTGCATATTTGTACTCACTTCATTACGAACTCTATTGGTCATTGAAAATTAAACAGTTAACAGCGATAACTATTGAATTGTGTTTGGTTTAAAAGTTTTGCTTTTACGGTGTTAAGACAACTTGACACCATGCTTTTAGACTATATTGAGGAACATCAATGTACTGATTTAGAGCTCCAAGATAAATTGGTTTTATTTGTACCTGGCACATTTGCTTTTATATTTTTACTAGACGCAGCTGATAGTTCTAGAATGGGCAGTAACAAACCAAGGCTGAATACGTTCTGTCAAGGAAGAGGGTTCGAGCTTTGGCTTATCCTAGCGTCCTAGGGCTTTCCATCAGGTAGAAGACATAAAAATGATCTAAATGCACGTATCATACGGAGAGGAAATGGAATGAGTTTGAGCTCGCTCCAAAGGCCCGGCGAATATATAACTAAACGCCAGACATTAGGGGGTCACATAACCAAGGTATTGCAAGGACAAATAGTAAGGGAACTGACAGTCTTACAATTCATCAAATAGCCACGGTATCATAGTGACTATTCAAAACTATTCAAGTATGACATCTGTTGAATTGTAAAAAATCATTCTTGCCAAAGGCAATTATGCAGTACCGAATGTAATTTTAGGCAGTGTAGTTTCTTCAGTGACAAAGGCTTACCATTCATACAGTTGGGTCGATGGCATATATCCTCGGTGGATAGGAAAGGACTGAGCTTGGCCTTTGTTCAAAGGCCAGTCCAATTGTACATGAGTTGGACGATAACCAAATATTTTATTTCAGTCACAAAGAATGATCGCCCAATGTGGAGGAAATGCTTGATTTGCCACTATGGCATATGTCGCAGCTTATATAAAGGTGGGCGTTGCCGGCGTACAGGGGTTGCAAATGGTGGTCTTACACTACTTCAGATGTGTGATATGGACTTCGTCCAAGGCTATAGCTTCAATTTTATGCCATTCTTCCTACAAACATATATCCAACCAAGCCTTATGGCTTCCCCAAACATAACATTGAATGTTATTCCAATTTTATGATTCTTTTCAGTTTTCATAAAATGCACTGCAAAATCGCTTGTCAAGCAAAGAATTGCTTAGCGTTTAATCAATGAGGTGAACCCTTCTACACCTCAGTAACTGAAACCTCAACGGTCCCTATTCAATGACTCGAATGCTGAAACAGGTCTGGCTTTAGACTATGTCATAGATCACAAATCAATGCACTTTAAATCAGTGAGTGTTATCACACAATTACTTTACTAAAATTTATGTCATAAAAGTATGCGACAGATAGTTATACTAAATAAATACTTGGAGGCATGTTAAAGCCTGCTGCATGAATATGCTTTAATTTTATGAATGTTTGGCCAGTTCTTTTTGATTCTTGCTGTCACATATTTACAAGGACTTGTTAATGAGGCTGATGTATCAAGCGCCGAAAGCAAAAATAACGCGTCCCTTTCTTGTGTATGTTTCTTGTCTGCCGTCGGTTTTCTTCCGTACATAGTATTCACGTGGTTGTATGTCTCCTTTGTCGCTTTCCTCATTTCCTATGCACCAAAGCGTATTAATCTGCCATGGGTGGTGTGCCATCTTAACTGCAAGTTTCAAATGCGTATAACATTCTAATTAATGTTTTGAACAAATACACAGTTTTGGTTCATTATAAACTGTTCAGTGATACTTAATTGACTTTTTTCGCATTTATTATAGCTAAAACATAGCTTTCTCGTATTGGCAGTCGCCAGTTTGAATTTATTCGTGATTCCTTTGGCAGAAATATTTCAGGTAGTAGGTGGTGTTATCTTGACATTGCTAAATCCTTCCCGTTTCTCCCAGATTTAACGATGGGGAAAGGTAAGAACACACCAAATCAGAAACCCCGCACCAAGGGGAACGTTAAACCCTCGAGCAGTGATCGGTCGACTGAATTCCTGCAACGCAACGCCTTTTCTGTTGTTGGAACCACTCAAAATTTTGGAATTTTCTCCATCCAGTCTAATGTGCAATCCCAAATGAGCCCAACAGTTGCTGTAGGTTTCTCCAGCCTCCTTCCTCTTGACCAAGATCCGACTGCAGCCACTATAGATACAGACTTTCTCGCTTCACTACGCCGTTTAGAGAAGCGTAACAGTGCGACCAAACAAAAGGCTCTGGATACGCTCATAACCCTCTTGCATGAACACAATAAAGATGGGGATTATGTAAAATCGGAAGACGTCATAGTAGCCTCTGTTTTGCCATTCTGGCCACGGATCTACAACAGTCTCACACATGATGACGATCGACGCGTACGAGAGCTTAGTCAGGTGGTTATGCATGCTCTCGCAAAACGTCTTGGTCGCAAGCTGAGTCCCTATTTAAAGGAGATTGTAGTACCGTGGACCTTCGCTACTGTGGATTCCTATGAGAACACGGCTAGGGCCGCACAGACAGGATTGAGCAATACTTTTCCTGGTCATCGGCAGGGTGAACTCTGTCGAACCTATGCTAAGTACCTGTTGAATGAATGCGAACGGCGACTTGTCGATCTGACAAGTGATCTGCCTAGCTACCAGAAATCGAAGAAAAACAGGGGCATTGATGACTCTTTACCTCCAGAGTTACACCATAATCTCAACATAGCCACTCAGTTCCTTACCTGGGTTGCATCCCTCCTCCCTGAGCTTTCCCAACTACCCGCAGACAATGCGCAGTTGATTCGACTCCAGAAATTTCTCCAGCAACTAATTCCCGCTGTCTCGTCGATCTTGGATGCTGTGAAATTTGTTCCTTTAAGTATGGCATACTTTCGACTCATCTCCACTATTTGTAAATCCGTGACAGAGTGGTTAAATGGGCAGGAGGATTTGCTCAATTTTATTATTCTCAAATGTGTGAAGGAAATCGACGCTTTCCCCGAAAAACTTGCGGCTGCAAGCACCTGTTTGGAGATGTTTGGTGATAAAGTCTGGAGTGGAGCTCCATGGATGGAGTTGGTTGACAAAACGATCATTCCTGTCGTTGAGCAGGTCCAAACGAAAGCTCAACGACAGGTAATTGTTGCTTTCTTTTCTGCAAATTTTGTATTTAATGCCATCGCTTGGTTCGAGTTAATTTGCGATCCCTTTTTCAATGAATTACGTGCAAAAATCTTATATTTGTAATATAGGCATCGCATGTCGATTCACCTCCTCTTTATAACAGTTACTTGCGTTTTCAAGTAGCATTGGTTTTATGTTGTAGGCTCTCTACGCCAATCTTCTTCCAATCGTGAGTCAATTTCCTCTCGAGCAAATTGACAATGAAGTAGCGGACTTGGTGAAGCGTCTAGTGGATGCTTCGCGTCAGGGTTTGATTCGCTCACTTAATCTTCCCAGTGATGTGGATCTTCGGCGATCGGATACGCTGCCATGTTTGCTTGATCAGGGGTCTTCTGTGGATTGTCTGACGGGCCTCTTAGAGTTGTCTCGCTACTTCCTTGACCGTGCTGCTCTTACCTCCAGCAGAGAACTTATTGACTTCCTTTTTGAACGTATTTTCTGCGATCTCTTCGTCTTTGTGTTTTCCAGCTCAGACTCCTTGAAAAGATGGATGTATCGGGAGCAGTTCTCGGGCTGTCTATTTAAACAGGTATCCCTCAATTCTTTCACTTCCTTAGCATGCGTAGTACTTAAATTGCGTAAGTTTAATGGGATTCCTTTATTCTAGATTTGTGCAACTCTTGTACACCTGGTTCATGATCCCCGCCCCCAACTCCAAACAGTTTTTTCCTCCCTCCAAGAAAACATAACCGAGCTCATCAGACCCACTTCTCCACATGGACTCCACCTTCCCATGGAGCCTCTGCTGGACTTTTTCAATCATCTTGTCGAAGCCGGCACTGATATCAATGGAAATCTTGAGCCTTGGTGCCAAACTTGGCTGTGCGAAATCCTTGTTTTTATTAGACCCATTTCTAAGGAGTTGGAGGACTCGGCCCAACGTTGGCTTTTAACATTCAGTCTGATTGGTCAAATTAACTCTGATCGGAGCGTGAATAATCCGCTAGATCTACTAATCACTTCCGTCATTCCCGCCTTTGATAATGAAATCTTCAGGTGGACTACCTCTATGAGCAGAGGTCTTGCGAAATGCCCTCTGAAGCCAATCTCATCGGAATCTTGGCTTTCGGCTAGTGAAAAAACGCGCAAAAATTTTGTGATGGGTCCCATCAAGCACCTGGTTGTTGACTCTAGCCACGAAAGCTGCATGCCTGTTTTCCAGTCTCTGTTCGACATTCTAACGGCTAACATTGATACTGCCTCCGAAATACTACTGGAATTGGTGAATGTTATTTTTGCCGCTCCTAGCTCCTATGACGAGGTTCGAGAGCATATGCTTTTGGCGATTTGTATGGAAATCGCCAAGCGGGGTCATGTTTCCGATAAAGTCTATGATTTCCTTTCCTCGTTCATTGTTCTGCTCATTTCCCAATGCAAGTTGTGTCTTACCGGTTCGTCCGATCTCATCAACCAGTACGTGAGGCTTACGGTTGATAAGCTTTGGCTAATAGAGCACTCCATAGAGACGCCGGCACAAGTTGGCAGGGAAGTCATCGCTCATTTAAAAAGTCGGGATGATTCACAAGCTTGCCTGTTCTCGCAACAAATATGGGTCAGTGTATTGGCCAAATTAACATCGAGTGGCTGTCCTTGCGATTCTGCTGCCTTATTAGACTTTCTTCGTCAATTGGTTCTAAATACTGATGCTTGTCGAGAGGCCTGGCTACATCATATTTTATCTGCCTCGTTTCAACTCTGTGATGAAGTAGAGTCGATCTGTCAAAATCTGCCAATTTGTGTTCGTCCAGAAATCTTTCCAATGCACCTACTACCACAAGTTTCACCAATAATTGTTGCGCTACAGATCGGTTTCAAACTCGATCTACATTCTACCTTTACTGCTGGCCTTCCAGAACACAAACAGCTAGCTAATTTACTATTGATACTTCATTTTTGGCTTTCAGCGGGTACTGTGGAGCCGTATACTTTGGATGATTTGTCTCCGAATCGAATATTTATGCCCACAAATGTTGATGAACCGCCATCAACATCAAATCTGCTCAGCTACCTTGATGGAATGTGTGGTCAATTTACGGGCTCTATTTACTCGCTTGAGGAGTTCGACACGTCAAACTCTGCCCTTCGTGCATCGTTGGCCGAGCGATTGGTGGATATTCACCCCCTGCAATGGCCCCTACCTATCCGACAGGCAGCTTCATGTTCTCCTCCTCCAAGTTGGCTGAATGATCAGATCATTGAAAACTCTTCAGAAGGCTTCCTCCTCCTCTGTGATGTTTGCCTTCCTGTGGGTGTTCTAGGTAGATGCCTTCCGAGGAGCATCATAACCACTCACGTGCTGGACCTTGCTACCATGGCTCACTCTGAAGCCAATCGTGAAGGTCTGGCCCGCCTGGCTGAGGTCATCGCTTGTCTTTCTTCCACAGCCTTTGTCGGCTGCTCCTACGCCTTCTCACTTGCATCGCTCACGCTTGAAGACGCTGTTCGAGACTCTCTTGTTGACGTCGAATGCTCCCAAGAACCTGAGTCAATGCGAGCGGTCATTGCATCCATGAAAGCCCTCCAAATACTTGTTCTCTCGAGGCAGCCCATAGGATCGATCGAAAATCATTCACACCTCGGTCTCGTTAAACTCTCCCAGCGTTTGAAGCAATTGAAGGCGCGATTGACTAGAGAGCAGTGGGATTCCCTGCTATGCCTAACTGCCAGTTGGATTACACAAGCCGTAGTCAGACCTGTGCAACCCACAGCTTTCCCGGTTCTCGCCTTTCAACTTGTCGCTGCAATTGGAGCTCTGTTTGTCAATTCCATATGCTCTAGTACGACCGTCACGGGCGCTCTGATTCGATGTAACTCGGCCGAATCATCGTCGGTCGACCAACTTATGGACATGAATAGAGAGGAGTGGGATGAGACTGACTTCGACTTTGCAGAGGATTATGATTGTGAGGATGATGAGAATGCGTCTCCCATAAATATGAATGTTTTTGGAGACGCTGAAGAAGGCGATTTTGTGGATGCGGATACTGAGGAGTTGAGGTTTGAGGATCCTAATGCGCAGCGCCGTTTGCCGCCACCTGCATCAGTAAAAAAGGATTGGCACGACTTCTTCGCGGGAAACATATACGATTCACTTATCAGTCTCACTACTGGCACTTGTCTTTCTGCTAATGGTGGTCACAGTGACGTGTCGAAAGATACCCCGCAACATCTGTCTGCGCTGTGTGCTGCAGTGGCCACTTGTTCCGTAGAATCGCTTCTTATATGCCTTGAACAACAACCAGATATTGTTGTCACTTATCTGCTGGACTCTGATACTCACCAATCATGCCACCCTCCTCAAGTGGAAAACAGCCTTTTTTCCTCTGAGTGTCTCTTAGCTCCACAAATGCGTAATACCATCGATCTCGCTATTCGTCTTCTCACCACTTCACCCTACCAAGCTGGTCAACTGCTAGGTCACATACTGCTCACTCGATTGGCTGCCTCAAGGTCGTTGGAGCCTGTTCGGCGCATGAGTGACGTTCTTATACCTCATCTACCCGTTTCTTGGGTTTGTGCACTCACTTCACCACTTGCGGAGGATTTAGAAAGCATTCTCTCGGACGCAGATACAGTGGTATCGCAGTGGGGTCGTGGAGTTTTCACTATAAACCAGCTTCTTGGTGAGAATGTACTACTTGGTCACCAAAGGCTTCTTTCCTATCTTCTCGCTTGGGATGCAGTCGTTAGTCTTTTGAGTTCAGCCTCTCAGCAAAGTCGAGCTGGTCTTCAAGGGGCATTGCTCAAGGATGATGTGTGGATTGCACATATGTGCCGACTAATTCTTGCTCTTGGTCTACTTCTACCAAAACAGAGTGAAATTGGACCCCTCCTTACTGTCCGATGCCGACTTGAACCGGATCCTCGGCTCCTTCTCACCTCTTCTGCTCGCGCTACCATGATCAATACATTGACTTCTTCCTCACAGAAAATTAGGTCCTTATTCGCTCCCATGGATCCTCTTGTGCACCTTCCCGGTCACCGACTCACCAAGGATCTATCGCATCTAGCAATTCGATTGTTACGTCGACTGCTATTTGAATCACCGGCTTTGATGCGCTCTCTCTACGCGGAGCTGCAGCGAGGCGCAACGATGGGTGAGCGAATCTCCTCCGGCCAGGCACGCCAATTGGCCAGTCACCTGGAGAGGATCGTACGACGTCAATTCTCAGCTAATCTGATCGTCGCCGAGGTGGAGTCCATTGAGCGGAGGGCGAGCGAATTTAAACGCCGCCTTGGAGCTGCTCCTTACCTTGATGCTGATCTGCCCAGCGCAGGAAGTGTTGATATTAAAGGAAAGCCACTTTCCCGAGAGGTAATCCCTCTTACGATAAAATCATTGCTTCTACATTTGGAGCGTGCTTTCATTTTTCTCCCCGTTTCGTCTAGGTTATCACTACATATCACTTTTCGGCAGACCAATACCTAGAAATGATAATTAGTCTACCGGAAAACTTCCCTCTATCTCCTGTCACCGTTGAGACTGGTAATAAAACTGACCCTGCCATGGCAAATTGGCGGACCTGGATTATGCACCTCTCTGTCTTTCTCAACAATCAGGTGTGTTTTATGCGTTCTTTTAACATTTTTAAGTCTCAGCGACTTTATGGAGGCAATATTTTTGTTATCTGTACTATAAGCGATCTGATTCTGACAGTAGTCTTGGTAGAGGACTGTTTGGGAGGAAGTCAAAAAATGGAATTGGTTTTTATCCATCGCTTTACGCACATCAAACATCCTATGTTGACCTTATCCTGAGGTAACATTATGCACCCTCAGAATGGTTCATTTCTTCAACAGAATGGATCCATCCTTGATGGGATAGGTCTTTGGCTGCGGAATATAAAGAAAAAGTTTGACGGAGTGGAGGACTGTGCCATTTGCTACTCCGTCATCCACGATCGCGATTTCTCCTTTCCTAGACTGCAGTGTCGTGTGTGCAAAAAGCGCTTTCATAACGAGTGTATGTACCGCTACTTCCAGACCAGCCGTAATCCCACCTGTCCCCTCTGTCGAAGCCTCTTCTATGCCACTAGTTGACTTAACTCTCGTATCCCCTCATTCATTTCCCTTCTCATTGTGTCCGTCCTTCACACTACCTTCCTGTCTTATGCCAAGAAAATTTGTATAATGACGATGTTGGGCGCTTGTTTCTTTATGCCTTCAGTGAAACGCAGAATAGAATAGATCGCTATAAGGCGCTTCATGCCCTTACTTGATTCTCAGCTGGTTGCCATACGCACGGAAATTATTGCCTCGCATGAAATGTATCCCAAAACTTCCACCTTATAAAGAGTGAGCTGCAGGAAAATTGGTGTTGACTCCAGTTGTCATTGGTGCTAAACTGCTCACCTTGTCAGGCTGTGACTCATTCGAGAATATTTTGGTTAAGGCGGATTTCGAACAGCACGCCAAGTTACTCCCTAGACGCAAATAGTGACGGTGACCGACACCTCGTATTCTAACCACCAGCATCCGAAGTAAGGCTTGAGGTCGATCTTTCGTCACAGAGTATCAACCGACAGGCGTTCCACATGGCAAAAGGGCGGACAAGTTACATTCTAGACTCAATTTTACTAATCATTTTAAAATGAAATATCCACGGCAATCAGAGTTATTGAAGAAATTGGGAAAAGGAACAGATTGTGACATAGTAAGCACAAAAATTAAAGTCAACAAGCGCTCTTGGCGTCAACCCATTCCGGGCCAGTGAAAAAGGAAAGGGGGATGGCCAATAGCATACACGCACACACGTGGCCGCACATATACGTAATCAAAAACTACTGCCGTAGGATGTCTGTTTGGTGGATGAAAATGAAAGCACTTATGGCGGCGGTACTAACTTACAGCCTATTTACATTCAAATGCTTGGAGTCTTAACAAAAGATTGGTGTGGTCATTGTAGCAGCCATCTATCTGGGACCTGTGGGAGGCTTTGATGAGGAGTGTGACCTCGACAATGGATAAGGGTCAGAGGAGTTGTGCCCGTTGATGATATCATTGAGGTCTGGCAACTGTCCATTGTACTCTTCACCAGCTCCGGTCATGCCAACACCCGCGAGCATTGTTCGACTATCCATATCGAGAACCACCTTCTTGATACGATTTAACTCTACCGCATCATTGGATTGCAACTTCTTCACCTCGTCCAATTCCTCCGTCAATGAACGAAGATGGTCAGTTATGAACTTCAAACTCTTGGCCACACCACCCCGATCGTTCGCTTGAGCATTCTACAAAGTGTGTCAAGAGATACCCAAAAGAGTTGCCGCTTAAGCACGCTACAAACTTGTGCATTTATTTTATTTCTTTCGACTGATAAATGGAACTGTACCTCGTAATTTTACACACAAGAAAGGACTGGAAGATACAACCAGTATTTAAAATGCAAACATCCTCTCCATCACTCACATAAATTAACTAACCGACGACGTTTGCCTTCTACGCCACGATCCAAGCCTAAAGATGCTAATGACTTGTGCCAAAGTGTGCAAGACACCAAACTCATATCTTCAATTTCCCAAAGAAAACAAGCTACCAGAGCTTATCGCAAAGATCACCCACACACCAAGGCAAGAGTGAGAGCTATGCGAACCTTGACTGCTGCAAGTTTCTTGTTAAATTCGGACAGTTGGTTAGCCACATCCTCGGCGTGTTCCCGCTGCTCCCGTCGCATGGAATCAATGGTGCGCGTGAAGTTGTTCAGCTGCTCGGCAAATGCACAAAGGCGCTCCTGTTGCTCCTGAACTAGGCCTTGCAAGTCACCCATGTTTCGCGGCGTACTCTCCATTGGCCGATTGGGATCCAAACGTGTCAAGCTGGAGCCTAAAAGTAATAAAGTAACTCAAACACCAAGCAAGAAAGTGTTCTGTAAACACTAGTTACTTGTGCGCTGTTAAAGCATAGTTTAAAATCGCACAGCTCTTAATTTCATCTACTGAACATATTTTTCTTAACAGGGAATTATCTTCGCACCAACTTATCGAACTTCTAGTCTGTAATTTGCACCTTTAAAGGGCTCTGACGAGTCGTCGCATTAGTTCGCTACTTTATTTTCGAACTGATATTCACTGATAACTTTTCAAAAGTATATTATACAAAGTGAACGTCATTTAAACGATCAGCTTACAGCGATATTTATTAGCATTGGCTTTGGCAGAAGCGGTGTCATACTCCGGTTTTGAACTGGAGCTCCTGCGATTGAGGGAGAAGGATGCGCCGTTCGTCTTTTGAGTGGTTGGCTCAGTTCTACCAGAACGAGATGCTTCCGACTTGACCGCAATCCTTCCATCAGTTCGTACCAACTAAAAATGCGATAAAAGCATCCCAACTATATTGTTTGCTTGCCAGAGTAATAGTTAGCTCAAAGACGGGGTCAGGGGTGAAAACTACCCACCGAAGTCGAGTTAGTGCTTGATGCCGCTTTGTTCTGCAGACGCTTGTTGATAAGTCGATCACTGTCGCCTGGGTTACCACCCGATAAGTCATTACGCTTAGCCGGATCTGTAAGCAATAGCTAATCGTTTCAGATCGTACATAATAAACCTCGTGACAAAAAAGAGTATGGCAGTTGATTAATATGCGCAAAGCCTGATCACTTTAAGGTGAAGTGCGCAGTAAAAAGGGCTCATAATTACACCAAGACACGCAAGCTCGTAAGTAGACTAGGTCCTCAAAGTAAGCTTAAAATTCGCAAAGTTCGTAAATACTTAACTATTTGCCTTCCTCTTGAGTTGCTCGCACTTCTTCAATAGCCACAGAAGTGCGCAAAGCACAAGTTCACAGTCCAAAAGTGTGACCCCAGATTCCATTAAAACTAAGCCAAAGTGCTAACAGAACGGTAATTACATTTGCGCTGTGCTAGCCGAAAAATCTTAAAAACTACTTTAAAAATTATGACAATAAGTTGTTTCTAATTAGTTTTTGAAGAAGAGAGAGCACACTTCTTAGAAGTAACATATGTGTCAAAACGACTTCCCATTCTTGCTTGCAGTGGAATCGTAACGTTTGCTTCCAGTGGGACTAGCAGTAGTGTCGTTTTGAGCTGTCCTGCTCGAAAAAGAGCCACCATTCTGGGTCCGCTGCGTCGATGAACCCATTTTCGTCTATCAAAACGAAATAACATTATAAAACTTTGATGCCAGAATAAACAGCAGGAATCCAACATCCGTGAATAGGCAACTTAATTCAACCCCACAGATGATATCAAACCTAAATGAACACAATGGATGTAAAACAAAGTTAAATGGCAGCGTAATACACCTTGTAGTCCGCAAGAGCACGCTTAAAGTCAGGATCATTGGCATCAGCTGTTCTGACAAAATTGTCAGGAAATACACCCGTCTTATTGGTACGAAGGTTTACACCACGCCACCAACCATCCTCAGGTAAATCTCGACTAAGCACGCGAATGAAATCCTTCACCTCCAACTGCAGCTCATCTGACTGCTCGGGGTCATAGCGATACGCCACTTTCACATAGTCTGAGGCCTTGTTGCTTATATTGGCCGACAGTGGCAAAGGAGAGGATGCTCCTGTAGGCACTAAATAGAGAGTAGCAGTTATAAGGCTTTTTGAGACTAATCCATTATCGAATGCAAAATCACACATTAAGTAAAAAGACATTACACAAACACTAGATCATAATGCTGAATGGTACAGAGCAGGCCAATTGTCTCAGCTTGTGAAACACGAAGGTGTAAGCTTTGGAATGCAAACAATGAGCTTAATCAAATCCAAGCTACAGCTCTTTAAGGGCTCAAGCACAATTCAGAGGAACTACAGTCCTAGCGGGATTTGTGAAACCTTATCCATCCTGACAAAATCTACTGAAGCACAAAGACACGCTGCTACATTTATTTGGCATCTAACAAAACTTCATTTACGCGACCAGTTCGTGATAAAACCAATAAATGAGGAATGTTTGCAATTACTGCTTGTTAATTGAAAGTGTGGAAAACATGTACAGAAATATGGCCAAGCAGCTGTACGTCAAAATTTAGCATCCAATAGCAAGCATAACTAGTACACATGCCACAATCACTGCGCACAAGCAGTCATGCAAACATATACGCAATAACCACTAACTGAAAGCAATGAGTAGGGGATGAAGAGCAAGTTATGCAGGTGCTCGTTTACCTAACACAGCCTGCCCTCGATGCAAATAGACTAAAAGGCTGGTAAATTGTGAAACAAGGAAACAAGACCAGACACAAAAGACAGCTCAAAAGAGCATATTGCCATACTTTGCATTCCCACGTGCATATATAAGGCTTACACTGGACTTGAAGGCAAAGTTTCCTGATAAGACAGACAACAAGGTGATAAAAGACGATGTTAAAATCCAATTATCAATTGATTCGAACAACTCAATAGCAACATACTTACTCTGTGTTTTGTGATTTTCTTGGGGCTAAAGAAAAGTAAAACCCATGAGAACGATTCAAGCTTAACTTCTGACTTATTATTATCAACAAGTAATTACGCTAAAGTGTTACCAGTCAAACTAGAGATTCGCTTGAAGAACTGACAGGCTACCAAACCGTCGCTTATTGCTTAAACTGAGGAAAAAGTACGGAAATCGTAAGTCCTAGCACTCAAACGGAGCAAAACTATGATAAGCTTCAACCCATGAAAGGATGAAATACATCTGGATTTTAACAAATCACCAAAATCCGTACTCCTCTTTCGTTCCTCATAAATAAACATGCTACCATCATAAAGCATGCACCAATCATTTGTACGCATAGTTTAATGTCCTGAAGTAAGCGTTCAAAAAGCAACATAGTCCACAGAAACTTCTATAGTAAGATCAAATCTGCAAAACAATGTCAAAGAATATATAATAAGGAGAAATTAGTAAAGCAGCAAATATGCAACAAAATACGCCAGCGCATACTAATCTGGAGGTTGTGCGTTTCCATGAATTGCGACAGGAACCAAATGGGAAAATAGAATGAGTGCTAACATTTTTCATAACAAATGACCATGAGAAAACCATCCATTTTGCCACATGGATAAAAACAAATATTTGCTTCAAAAAACAAGCAGACGTACTTGGCTGCCTTGAGATGGAGCGGGCTTAATTATCTACACGTAAAATTGTAATCAAATATCTAGCATAAATTACTCGAACAAAATTGTCAGGGAAAACGCCTTCTCTTCCATTAAACGTCCCGATGTACCACCCCTCTTCAAACTGCGAAACATTTGTAACAATATCGCCCTGCTTAAGAGTAAGTTCATCTCTTTCTTCTGCTGTGTAGTCGTACTCCACCTGAACCTCCATCCAAGAACCGGTGTGCGCAAATATTTACCAAGAAGGTACGAAGCCTGTCAACAAACCGAGGCTGCGACCATAAAACTAAGGTAGTGATTCGTTGATTTTCTCCACCAATCACCTTAGTGATTAAATTTGAAAATTCCGTTCGTATTTGCAATTTTGAAAATTGCAGTAATTTACATAAAGAAATGGCTAATTAGATCTAGTCCAGCTATCCAGGTAGAGCAAACTTGAAGCCTAACATTGTGCTTTATGCCATTCCCACTAGCATTAAACAAATAAAATGCTAATTCATCTGTACTACTATGAAAAATTCTCCTTCTGTTTAGGGTCATATCTTGCGGTAAGATGCCAATATAACTACAGCGTATCGACACTTCCCTTGGGTAGAAGAAGGCATCACATTGGGTAGGATGCATGCATTCTAAGAAAAGAAGATCTAAAGGCCAATCTGAGTGCACAAGGACAAAGAGACGGCCAGACACCAAGTAGTCACATAACTAGAGTATCATGCTGCCTCTCTTTTTGCTTGAGCGACATCCTCGATGCTCCCCTTTCTACGACTCCCGCGCCAGCCATCACAACATATTCATTACTGCAAGAAAGCACCCTCTAGTTAGTCACACCAGTCAACAGATTCCATGAGACTGAGGAAAGGTATCGAGTCCCCTCGACAGCTTCAACTGGGCCTGAATTCGCGTTCGGTCTGAGGTCAAGTACCGCGACGAGGAATTTCTATTCATAATCAATGGGGCTCTCGACTAAATTCTGGAACACCGGGCTAAAACAGAGGAGCAGTTTGATGCGAATCATTTCCACATGGTACACAGCTGTTGATAGATTGTCTGGGAAACATGAGCGCAAGGTGGAACCAAACTCAGACATCATTCTCAACCCTTCTGTTGTGAAGAGGTCAGGTGTTCTTCTGCCCCTCGTAAATGGGCTGTCTCCGCATTGTAGATACACGTCAAAAACAGTGGATACAGAGATAGAAGTCATTAAAAATTCGAGTTCGGTTCCTGCTGACCCAGTATGGCGCCCTGAGGCTTCCCACCAGATAAAAGAAGGCGTCGCATTGGGCAGAATATATGTATTCCAGAAGAAGAAGGAGAAGAAATGGGGTTTTGGCACGATCCGAAGGCCAAACCAAGTGTACCAAGGCAAAACGAAAATGAAAGTAATTGCCAGACACCGGGTGGTAAAATAGGCTAAGTACTACAATAATTCTGCATTAGGTGTTGTCGATAAATGCCAAGAGTATCAACGAACCTGTGTTAAGAGGGTATGCGTAATAGTAGATCAAGAGCCAGGAATTTGTAAGCTGTAGCATCCCGAGACATCCCAGTAGGTCGAAGAAGGTATTAAGCAGGGCCAAATGCATCTATTGCAGGCTAATAAGAAGGAATTGGAGGTTGGCTTGTCCAAATGCCAACCCAAGCGTAGAAAGGCAAGACGATTACCAAAGTAACTGCCATACATCGGTGGTCACATTACTCAATTTTTACAAGGTGTAACGCCCCGAGACCTCCCATTAGTAAGAAGAGGGCAATGGACTTGAATAAATGCATGTATTTGGGCAAAAATATCCAAGTGATCGCCATCCATACAGGCAGTTATGTAGGTAAAGCATTACAGCAAGTGTAGCATATTGTTTATGTGACCACCACATGGTTTGGCCTTTAAGTTACGTCGAAGTTTGATCCCCTCTTCTCCTCCCACAATCAAGGTAATCAGTGCAGCTTAATGCCTTCTTCTGTTTGATTGGAAGACTCGGAACTCTACATTTGCCACAGGAAAACCTCCATTGTTCCTTCTTTAGGATTATAATATGTATAAACAATTTGGATTTTAGTTCCAAGCTAAGAGTGTTAACCTAACTTCATCAGTATCGAGCAGATCGAATTGCTCCTCGGGGTCAAAAACTGAGGTGCTGTTCTTCCTCTTTGTTTTCTTGATCCACTGCGTCAATAAACGCCTCTACCTCAGACCCATATTTGTTGCAGGATGCCCCTCTTACAAGTATTTTGCAGAAGGAGTAAAGTGTTTCACCTTTTGTTGGAGACGAGCTTGTCGCCAGGATGCTAAAAAGAGGAGAACAGTCTCAGTCATAAGTCCAAAATTCGTTAGGCATTATCACTGAATCCTTTCGTCCTGGCCCCTTGGAAATCTGTTTGCTTACAAGCCTGGAGGGCAGGAGGAACTTAAGAATTCTCTACTGAGTTTCCGATGAGTCGAACACAGCTCTTCAAGTACAGCGCTGCGCTTGCCTCCTCGTCCTCCACCCAAAAGGGCATTTCATGCAGCCCATTTTATATCACGAGATTAACTTATTGTAGGGGTCTGACATCATGTCTTAAAGATGAAAAACAGTAGCGATGTTTTGGTGAGAGTCGATGATGACCACTTGGCAATGAATTTCCTTTAAACTCACTGCAAACACCTGACATTGTGTAATTTAACCTGTGTATCTAAACGAGGTCTAGCTCAGGATTAATTAGATTCATGCAGAGGGTGGTTCTCTGATCGTTGGCATACAGAAAGAATTAAAACCCATCGGCAAGAGTTGGGGGAGTAATTTGTAATACTGTTTGCTTGATTGCTAGCACCGATGGTGGATGCTTTTGCGAGCGCGTCATAAACTTTCCTAAATTCACTTCTTGACCAAATATCAGCATTCAACACTAGTAGCATGCATTTCAACATCAACTGGCAAGACTTGGGGCCAAACATCGTGATATGGGAAAATGGGTGGGATTCTCTTCTAGTTCTTAAAGTTTGCAACAGGCATTGCTGTGCGAACTACACCCAAAGACAGATAATGACATTTATCTTCAGCATCAGCACTATTCTTGTGTTTGAAGATAAACTAATTAGAACAGAAGCGACCGTAGCGTCTCAAGACCATCCATAGGGTGAAAGAAGGCAGTAAGTGGGGCTGGACACATGTGTTT